TGCCACGCCTGCGCTATGGCCGTACCATATGCGGGGACAAAATGGCATCCGAGGATCATTATTCAGAACAGCCAATCACAGGGTGCCTCGATGATTAACATTGAGTAGGACATCCAACAGCCCGTGGTCTTCGGATTGTACTGTGTGTGTATGTAGAATGTAATACTGACCCGGCGGCAGTTACATGTCCTACTCAGCATAAATAAATCGAGGCGCCCTATGCTTGGTGCCAAGTCGGTGAGAGTTTGTACTTTGTGTTGTGTAACATTACAAAGTTCATTATAGGGCATACACGTTTCAAATAAATCAGGTATATCACATTGATACATATTATTTCTATACATAATTGACCAAGCTGAGTAAGTCCTCATTTGCATAGCGGTGCGCGTGAACGTAATCGCCAAGTTGTTAGATTTGCAAATGATATGTCGCAACCCGGCCGATTACGTACTAGTCTTATACCAGCCGCGCCGATGGATTTCGACTGACGTTCACGGACGAAATTTGACTATCTAACGACTTGTCATCAAGTCTAAGAGGCGCCCTGTGATTGGATGTTCTGATCCTAATGGATGCGATTTTGTTCCTGCATTATGATACGGGCTATAGCGCAGTCTGGGCGAAGATGCTACGTACGTGAGCACGTTCAATGCAATGCATTACCAGTTCATTTATTCGTGCGTATCTGCTTAACATGTTATTTCATTTCACGGAACCCACTGTGGCCTACAGTTTGAAACGGTAAAATATTAAATTTAATTGGAACAGAAAACACATCAAAGTGGGCGATTCGTCGAGGCCGGAAGGCTCCGAGGTCGAGGCCATGGCCAAGGACATGAAAGGCCGGCCCGAGTCCTCCAACACTGCTGCTCATATTCAACTGGGGCAAACAGAAACGATTTTTTTGTTAAAGATAAAAGTGATGCACAGGATATGGATGTGACAACGAAGATATCTGCCGCTAATGTCTAACGAGCTGATCATGATCGGGTAGGGCGTCTTTGTGTTGGGGTTACAAATGTGGGGAGTAATGTACATAGGGGGTTTAGTTGAAAAGACATGCAGTAATAGAAAGCAAAAAATACAAAGTAGGAAGTAATAGCCATATTATTAGGCTACTATATCAATATCATTCAATTCAATTCAATTCAATTCAATTCAATTCAATTCAATTCAATTCAATTCAATTCAATTCAATTCAATTCAATTCAATTCAATTCAATTCAATTCAATTCAATTCAATTCAATTCAATTCAATTCAATTCAATTCAATTCAATTCAATTCAATTCAATTCAATTCAATTCAATTCAATTCAATTCAATTCAATTCAATTCAATTCAATTCAATTCAATTCAATTCAATTCAATTCAATTCAATTCAATTCAATTCAATTCAATTCAATTCAATTCAATTCAATTCAATTCAATTCAATTCAATTCAATTCAATTCAATTCAATTCAATTCAATTCAATTCAATTCAATTCAATTCAATTCAATTCAATTCAATTCAATTCAATTCAATTCAATTCAATTCAATTCAATTCAATTCAATTCAATTCAATTCAATTCAATTCAATTCAATTCAATTCAATTCAATTCAATTCAATTCAATTCAATTCAATTCAATTCAATTCAATTCAATTCAATTCAATTCAATTCAATTCAATTCAATTCAATTCAATTCAATTCAATTCAATTCAATTCAATTCAATTCAATTCAATTCAATTCAATTCAATTCAATTCAATTCAATTCAATTCAATTCAATTCAATTCAATTCAATTCAATTCAATTCAATTCAATTCAATTCAATTCAATTCAATTCAATTCAATTCAATTCAATTCAATTCAATTCAATTCAATTCAATTCAATTCAATTCAATTCAATTCAATTCAATTCAATTCAATTCAATTCAATTCAATTCAATTCAATTCAATTCAATTCAATTCAATTCAATTCAATTCAATTCAATTCAATTCAATTCAATTCAATTCAATTCAATTCAATTCAATTCAATTCAATTCAATTCAATTCAATTCAATTCAATTCAATTCAATTCAATTCAATTCAATTCAATTCAATTCAATTCAATTCAATTCAATTCAATTCAATTCAATTCAATTCAATTCAATTCAATTCAATTCAATTCAATTCAATTCAATTCAATTCAATTCAATTCAATTCAATTCAATTCAATTCAATTCAATTCAATTCAATTCAATTCAATTCAATTCAATTCAATTCAATTCAATTCAATTCAATTCAATTCAATTCAATTCAATTCAATTCAATTCAATTCAATTCAATTCAATTCAATTCAATTCAATTCAATTCAATTCAATTCAATTCAATTCAATTCAATTCAATTCAATTCAATTCAATTCAATTCAATTCAATTCAATTCAATTCAATTCAATTCAATTCAATTCAATTCAATTCAATTCAATTCAATTCAATTCAATTCAATTCAATTCAATTCAATTCAATTCAATTCAATTCAATTCAATTCAATTCAATTCAATTCAATTCAATTCAATTCAATTCAATTCAATTCAATTCAATTCAATTCAATTCAATTCAATTCAATTCAATTCAATTCAATTCAATTCAATTCAATTCAATTCAATTCAATTCAATTCAATTCAATTCAATTCAATTCAATTCAATTCAATTCAATTCAATTCAATTCAATTCAATTCAATTCAATTCAATTCAATTCAATTCAATTCAATTCAATTCAATTCAATTCAATTCAATTCAATTCAATTCAATTCAATTCAATTCAATTCAATTCAATTCAATTCAATTCAATTCAATTCAATTCAATTCAATTCAATTCAATTCAATTCAATTCAATTCAATTCAATTCAATTCAATTCAATTCAATTCAATTCAATTCAAGGCTTTGATGAAAAGTGTTAATATTTGGGAAGATTGGTGTTGGAAGAGTGTCTGGTGTTAAAAATAAAATCTCAAGAAATGAAATACATTTAAAGCAGCCTTCTCATAGAAATAAACTGGACACACATGAAAATAATAATAATGGGCCACGGCACTGTACGGTACATTTTCCCGTTGGTCTGTGAATTGTCTTTTTTGAGGCAGTCGCATTTGCGAGAAAATGTAGTTGAAATATAACCGTACACAGGCAAAGGCTGACTGTACAGTTTTGACAATAAATGCAACAAAATGTTAAGGTGCACTGCACAGGGCGTGTAATTTGCTATGAAAATGTTCAATGTACCATAAAATAACAAAATCTGAATCATGGCTTTTCTCCATGATTCATATTTTGTTATTGTGTAATGCTTGAAGACATTTCTGTCATTTTTCGGCTATATGTAACCTAAGGTCTAATAGAATAAAAACGACTATTGTGTCTGTCATGAAATGAATACAAAAGGTACTTTTGAGAGCTAATTTTCAGGTCTTGTTTCGGCCCGAACGTGCAATTTGTGTAAAAATTCGTCGTTGGGGGCAGCAAACAAAACATAGTAAAATCGAGACTTAATAAACATGACTCCCGATGCAGCGAAGTTCCAGCGAAACTTTTTGCAAAAAGAAATCACTCCGCGCAACATTTTGTTGGGCAGCCACATGCTTCATAGATTCAACTGTAGTTGGCAACAGTTTTTACCCCTGAACTTCTAATGGACAAGTTCAGAATTTAAAAAGGAGGTATCTCCATTGACTTTTTGGTAGTTTCTATTGATTATTCAGTATTTTGATAGTACACAGCATTTTATTATAGATTGTGGATTATTCTTTTGTGTTTGCCCTAACGACTAACCATAGTAAGAAACGTATGATACATCAACATAGTTCACGCACGCTATGTTTTTGAGCATGTCAAGCTGGAAATTCACGGGGGTACTTAAGCCTCCGGCCGGCCACAAAAACCGTAAATTGTGACGCCGGTAATAACGAATTAATAATCCGTAATACCGAATTAAATAATCCGTAATAACGAATTAAATAATCCGAAATAACGAATTAAGTAATCCGTAATAACGAATTAATAATCCGAATTAAATAATCCGTATTAACGAATTAGTAACATAAACTTGCAGTGGCGCTAATGGGCTTTTGTAGAAAGCTGCAAGCGCTGATGCAGTAATGTTTATTTAGGCACTCACTTCAGAAGTTCATGTAGTCGGCAAAATTCGTCATGAGTGGCAGCAATTACAATAAAAGACATACACACAATAATTGCATGTTTCACCTACCGCTGTGTAGGACTTAGGGATGACAAAGTCAGAATCATTGTCTCAAGCGAGTTGCGCCTTGTCGTGGTGGAGACCCCTGTGCGTTCCCGTGACCCGGAGAGCTATGTCGGCTTGGGGCCATGTCCCCCTGGCAGCTCCAAGCAAGCTGGACAGGTCGAAGGGTAGGAACCAGACCAATTGCAACTCAAAATGTCTTCTTGGCAGCAGGAGGAGACAATCCATCTGGGGCAGACGTCTATTGTATCAGGCTTTCTGGCCCAAGTGGGCCAACTGGCAGGCGGCAGAACCTCGGTCAACGGCTGGCAGTTTCCAGGCATAGTCAGTTTGCCACTGCGGGGCAGCCCATCATCCTTCTAGTCGTCCTGCTTCGGCAGTCCACTAGGGTTATGTATGACTGGGCCCAGAGGAGTGTGTCTGACCTGGGCAACCATTCACTCTCTATCCCTTGCCTCGGCGCACGACGTTACGTGCAAATCATGGAATGGAATCTCAACGATGTATATAGCGACTGGCAATATGGCAGCCCGCTACAAGGAGGGCTGTCAATGCCCGGCAGAGTGGGTGGGTGTTCCAGGCAGGCACCGCTCGGTCGACATCCTGCTACTGCCTACATTAACTTTGGTTCTTGGAACGTCCGCTCTTTGGGTGTCTCCTCTGACCGTTGTGTTCCTACCCCCCGCAAGTCCGCCATCATTGACCTGGAATTGGCCCGTCTCAATGTGGACATTGCAGCTCTTAGTGAAACATGTGTGACCGGCCAGACTTAAATTCCTGTAATTATGTGTAGTTTGCCCAAACATCCCGAGGCATAGGTACACAGGCCGCAACTGCTCCGGTATTTGTTTCAACTTCGTAAATTTTGATGTTATCATAAATAGCACTTTACGACACATTTTTATGCCATGAATACTCGAGGTTGGAAGCCAAGTCTGTATGAAACATTTTTATGCCATGAAATAAATATCCCAGGTTGAAAGCCAAGTCTATATGAAAATTGTGCATAAGATGACTTGAATTTTCGATACCGAACCTCCTGGTAATATTGACTGTATACTTGCACATACTTCGATCCTAAATACATGTTTCCTGTATGTTGAATTATAGGGTCAATGCACTTTATTGAACTCAAATTTGGATAGCGTGGATGGAAAGAGAAATAAGAGAATGTTCTAGCCTGAAATGAAACACATGAGACATATAGATGGATGTACGAATACAGAATATTGAATACTCTTTTTATGAGCATTGCTGTTTAAACAAACAAATGTTAAGAAATAGATGTACGGTATAAAATGCATTATAAATTCATCAATATAGAATAAGTACGGATGTGTACACATGTACTGTGGAGATGAAACTTTTTGATGGCACTGATGATTATTTAATATTCCTTCATCAAAATATTTATTAATATTTATGAGATTACTTAATACGTACAGTAATTTTATTACAGCTACTGCTTGTGGTTCTGTGGTTCCTGATGGTCACAAATAGAGAAGCCTTCTCGAGTAGACCAGTGTATCCCTTATCCAGCATCCATAATATTTGGGTACGTGTATAAAACATTATTGCTTGAAATGTGCCTAAGAAATTAGAGATTTAGAGATTTGGAGATTAATGTGTTGTAAAATCATTGCATAGCAAGTGCTTATGGAGATTATTTCTCCTTGATTAAATTTTTATGCCTTTCATATTTTTATGCCATTAATGTACTTGTAAATTCGCAGCAAAAACATTTCTATGGAACAAATCAATGGAAATTGAGGTTTATAGAGCCAGTAAAGCAATTTCTCATGATAAGAGATAACCAAGGATAAGGAGAGATGGTTATTTCAAATAATTAAATAATTGAATATTGGATTCATAGTCATTGTATATTTGTAAATAAATTAATTTCTATTCTTCTGTTTTCTGTTATTACAGACTGCTGAAGAATGACTGTCGTTTTTTTTGTAATAATAAAATTTTGATCAATTTATAGTGGAATATATACCCAGTGTCACTTTCAAATTTTTTTGCGTAACCTTTCCAGCTCGGTTACACATGGCTAACTGGTATTGGATCTGTCTGCGAGGAGAGCTACACCCTGTACTGGCATGGCTATCCAGATGGGGAGAGACCTCATCATGGCGTTGGTTTTGCTATCCGTAACTCTTTCACAGTTTCACCCAGGCTTATGACTGCAAAGCTTCAACTGTACAACTTCCAGTTCAAAATTATTAGCTGCTATGCCCTAACCCTGTGCTTATCCTCTAAGGAGAAAGACTCATTCTATGCCGTGCTGGAAGCCTTGATCAAAGACACATCGGCGGGCGATTGCATGGTGTTGCTTGGAGACTTCAATGCCTGGACAGGGTTTAACTACACTGCCTGGGAAGATGTCCTTGGCCCCCACGGCATTGGAAAAATGAACGAAAATGGTCAGAGACTGCTTGAGCTGTGCGCTCGTCACAACATCTGCATACCCTCATCCTTCTTCAATGGTTCGGAAAGGGCAAAGGTCACGTGGAAGCACCCGAGATCTGGCCACTGGCACCAGCCGGACCACATACTTGTGAGGCAGTCTGCACTTCCACAGGTGACCAACTGTCGCAGCCTACTCTCAGCAGATTGTGACTCGGACCATGCCCTGGTCCGCTGCCGACTCAGAGTAAAGAAGAAAGGAATGCACCATGCCAAGCCACCTCCACCACCGCGCCCGGACCTCTCCAACCTGGCTGATATGGATCGCCGTGTACAGCTCCAATCTAACATCTCACAAGGTTTAGCTGAGAAGACGCCATCACATGACCCAACCGAGTGCTGGGAATCCCTCAAGCATGTCATCAGATCTTCTGCCATGAAATCACTTGGGAAGCAAGTGCGGAAACAGCCGGACTGGTTTCGCCACAGTGCTGATGTGCTCCTTCCTGCTATTGCGTCCAAGCGCAGTACCCGACTGGCATTCCTTAACAAGCCTTCTCCCAGGAACAGAGCCTCTTATCAGTCTGCTAAGGCTGAAGTTCAGCGCTGCACAAGACAAACCCTGCATCGCTACTGGCTTAACCTGAGTGAGCGTATCTGCAGGTGCTCTGATGCAGGGAATCTGCATGGAATGTACAGAGGCATCAAGGAAGCACTGGGGCCTGTCCCAAAGAAGACGGCTCCACTGCGTGCATCTGATGGTACACTTCTAACCGACATGCAGGCACAACTAGACCGTTGGGTCGAACATTACAGCTCCTTGTATGGCACTCCAGTAAATGCTAATCTAACAGCCATCGCAATGGCAATTCCACAGTTGCCTGCAAAACTCGAGCTGGACCGGGAAATCACCGCCATCGAGGTGAAGCAAGCGATTGGTGCATTACAGAATGGTAGATGGGATTCCACCAGAACTTCTCAAGCATGGCGGTGATGATCTGACAAAGGAACTGCTGCGCCTCTTCCGTACATGCTGGCACACCCGTACATTGCCAGATGAACTCCGGGACGCAAGCATAACTACACTGTACAAGAATAAGGGCGACCGTCATGACTGTAATAGCTACAGGGGCATTTCCTTGCTGAGCACAGTCGGCAAAGTGCTTGCCCATGTCATCCTACCACGCCTCCGCTGTCTTGCTGATCAAATATTACCAGAGAGTCAGGCCGGTTTTAGACCAAACCGCTCCACACTGGACATGATTTTCTCTTTTCGTCAACTGCAAGAGAAATGCGTCGAACAGCGACGCCCCCTCTACACTGTCTTTGTGGACCTGACTAAAGCATTCGACTACGTGAGCCGCACAGGCTTATTTGCAGTCTTGGAGCGCTTGGGATGTCCACCAACTTTACTGGCTATCATCGGAGCTCTCCATGATGGAATGCAGGCCGCTGTTCAGTATGACAGGTCGGTGTCTCACGGCTTCAGTGTAAATTGTGGAGTGAAGCAGGGTTGTGTTTTGTCTCCTACGCTGTTTGGGATCTACTTCTCTGTCTTGCTCCGCAGCGCTTTTCCTACATCAAGCGGGATCATGCTCCACACTCGATCCACAGGAGGTCTGTTCAATCTCTCCCGCCTGCGTGCAGGAACGAAGGTCTCCAAAGTCATGGTACGTGAGCTCCTCTATGCTGATGATGCCGCTTTTGTTGCGCATTCTCAGGAAGACCTGCAGCAACTTTGTGATGCTTTTGCCCGCTCATGCCAGGACTTTGGCATGAAGATCAGCATTCGCAAGACTGTTGTGCTTGGCACTAACATCCAGGAATCACCAGTCATCACACTCCAAGAAACTTCACTACAGACGGTCACCAAGTTCACATATCTTGGTTCCACTGTGACTTCGAACAACTCTCTGGAGGAAGAACTCGGCAAAGCTGCAACAATATTTGGACGCCTGCGTAAACGTGTGTCTGACAACAACCGTCTCCCTCTACCTTTGAAGATCAAGGTATACGAAACATGTATACTAAGCATCCTCCTGTATGGCTCAAAGGGATGGACAGCATACAGACGTCAGGAACGCCGCTTGAATGCATTCCATCTGCGTTGTCTGCGATCAATCCTTGGACTCACTTGGCGGGACCGTGTCCCTAACACTGAGATCCTGTGGAGGACGGAGTGCCTTGACATGCGCACATTGCTTCAGAAACGTAGGCTGCGCTGGATAGGCCATGTCATACGGATGGACGATGCCTGCCTACCAAAATACATACTCTTTGGCGAGCTTCCTAATGCCCCTCGTCCAGTAGGCCGCCCAAAGCTGCGGTATAAGGATGTAGTCAAGCGTGATCTACAGTCCTTTTCCATCAACTTGACTGACTGGGAGAGCGTTGCAGCCAACAGGTTGGGCTTGCGTAGTGTATTACACCAGGGGAGCAGCCTTGCCCATCAAACCTACATGGAAGAGTGCAACGCCAGACGCACTACCAGGCACCGTTGTGCTGATCGTCGTTGATCGACGTTAAAGGCCTATATATATATATACCGTTAGCCACAACGACCCTTGCGTGTGCTTTGTGTGCATGTACGTACACACCGCATACACTTCCGCAAACAGTCGTACAGTACGTCGAGGCGGAGGATAGCTTTGGCGCAACCGCAAAGGCCGAATATGATAATTAGTACGCGCTATGGTAAATAGACTTCTCTCATTGGATAATGGCTGACAAAAAATGAATATTTATTAATTGCATAATGCGACCAAAGGTTTATAAACCAGACGGCCCTGTGGTAACAATAATTATTGTAAAACACCCCCTTGAAATTTTAAATAATAGTAGAATACTATTCATATAGTTAAACATAGTTCGGGTCGAAAATGAAATGAAAAAGGATGAAAAATTAGACTTTTACAAAACGGCAAACGGTACAAACCGCACGCCAGCAAAAATGATGTCACTCTGCACAGAGACCGCGCCGCCGGGGGCCGTCCACTGTAGGCACCGGCCGGGCTTGCGCTATGCGGAAAAACACGCTGCGCTTTCTCGGTCAGCGGCAAAAAAAAGCGCTCACACTACATGCATGAGTATCCGCTGACTTTTTGGGGTAATTCTACTTAGCTGTCAAGGGGATATGGGAAAAAATTATCTCTCCTTCAGCTAACTTAAGACTGACTTTAACTTGTATGAACGACTTATATCGTATCATGGAGGAATAAGAACAGTACGACTAATATATCGACATGGTACGACATATACACCTATATGTTGACAGAGTATGACTAATATACCGACAGGGTACGACATGTCGACAGGGTATGACATATCAAACATATGGCATAATGTCGACAGGTGCCGGAATACGTACAAGTCGTGCGTACGCCAGATCTTATATGTCGAGTCGACAGTGTACGATATATGTCGCATATGACTTTGTCGTATAAGTACGACTCAATATCTCGTGTGTACAACATATGGAATTGTACTCGTCCGTTCGACTTGTTTGTCAATTATGTCGTACATACGACATATCTTGAGGGTACGACTTGTATCTCGTATGTACGACATATGTATTGTAACTGGTATGTATGACTTGTATGTCATACGACATAGGTACGATTTATTTGTTTTACCTACGACTTATATGTCGTACGTATGTCGTAGGTATGACATACAATTCGTACGTACGCATTAAAATACATATATGTCGTACGTATGAGATATATGTTGCACATGGTACGAATTTAGGGAGAGATTTTATTCACCAATCCCTATATGACAGTTTCGTATATTTCCATCCCAAAGTAAATAGCCTTTTTTTTGTAGTTAATTCATACGGCTCAGTGTGACATGACTTTATAGATACGAGTTAATCTTTATTCGATAAAATGTGTACGATTTGATTCGGGTTCGAGTTGACCTGTTCCCTACATTCGAGTTGACCTGTTCCCTACAGGTACCGGTAGCGCGTGATTTACGCTGTTGCACCGGGCAATAAACGTCGGCGGATATGAACTGTCTTGAACTTTCCAATACATTGGAAATAGTATTATCAATTTGAACAAGTGTTCATTCATTTAAAAGCGGCATATTTCATTTGTTTGGAATAAAACTGGAGAAATTGTTTAAAAATTGGTTTGAAATACTTGGACATTTATTTTTGAGTGAACATAATTTGGCCGGAATTCGCCACAGTTGCGTCAAGGCTATCCTCCGCCTCGAATTACTGAACGGCTGTTCGCGGAAGTGTGCGTGTGGCGCACGTACATGCACAGAAAGCAAACGCAAGGCTCGTTGAGGCTAACGGCATATAAAACTAGTGTGTCGCGGCGCGCGCGGTGTGTGTGGTAGCGGGAATAAGCTCGTATGGGAACAAGCTCGCTGATAGCCTCGGGCAAGGCTATCAATCTGATGAAAGAAAGTGTGAAATTTTGGAAGCAGAATAAAATTATAAATATTATAAAAGTCATAAAAAATCAACCGATGACGTCATCCTGACGTCACTTCGGACTTTGCATACTAGTACCATTATCTACCTGCCCACCAAGTTTCATGACGATCGGACCTTGCCTTACATTGTTTTTTGAAAAATCACATTTTTGATGACGTCATGATGACGTCACACACTTTTTAAAATTTGGTGTAAATACCTTTCACCTAAACGAACCGAATACAGAAGTAATTTTGAATTTTGCATGTTGCGTTCGTAAGATATGGCTAAAAGGTCCAAAAATTCAAATAAAACAAACACCCCAACATCCCAACAAACAACCAAACGAACAAATAAACAAAAAATAAATGAATACATTTAAAAGATAGATATGTTTGCAATGGATAGCCGCTACTTTGAGTATTTTCTGTTGCAGGATGCCAGGGGATAGCACACGATACAAATTGGTTAGGGACCGGAACTTGTACCATCGCATGCTCTTCAGATTGGCAACATAGAGGTCTTCTAAGGTTGGACATCTTGTCAAGTTTGTTGGGTACTGATCGTCCAGCAATTTGGCCAGTTAGGCGTCCAGATCATAAACTGTTGCCTAAAGGCAAATATCAGGAAAATAACTGTCAACTGGAAAATAACTGTCAACAAAAAAAGCGGCACACTTTAATAAGAATCTCTTTTGACCATGACCTATTAAACTCTATGGACATCCATTTCAATTAAGTTGACGCGATATAAAAAGCATGATGACATGGCGGAGGATAATACACCATAAAGTGTACGCTAAGCTGTTGACATACATTTAACCACACGTTGCGCGTTTACGTGCTCGACCCAGATCTTTTGCAGCCTAATTGTACTATCCATAATACATTTAAGTGTAATAATATTTCCCATTGTCAGGTTAACGTTGATGCACCTAATATGCCTCTTACTTGTTATGTTTTTTCAAAAAGAAAGAAAGAAAGAAAGGTTCATTGTTTTGAGGAGGATTTAAGTTATAATTGTACTTTTGGAAGATAACATAAACAATTTATAAGGAAAAAATCATTATGCCTCCCGATAATTTTGCTCCAAAAATACAAAGAAAACTTGGTCGCCTATTTGGGGGCAGGAAGGGAATTTTCAATCTAGTTCCACAAGGATGGGTTTCGTACTGGCTTTTCGCCTTTTTAGGAGCAATAATAGCTAATTTGTTTAGTTCACGTTGGTGATGCTTACAATAGGAGGTTGATACGCTGGGGATATATTTCCCCTTACCGATGTAGCTTAGATCTACCCACGGAAAAATTGTACATTCAGTGATCTTTTGGGGTTTTGGAGACGGCGTTTACGTATATCTGTCGACCATACAGCTTTTACAAGATGACTCGTCAGAACGTCAGCCCAAGCGATCCGCCACTGGTTGTCGACATTTCATGTTTTCACAGCCGTCCAAGGTTTCCAGAGCATGAATCTCTTAGTGTTTTAGGCCTAGGCCTAGCCTACTTGGACTTTTTATGAATGCATTAGTTTTGGAATGCTAAATCACCACTGGATTATGTCAGCCTTTCATGATTGAAGCTTGTGTAGTCCTACTTGAATCAAGGCCCGTCATAGGTTTACGGACACCGAAGTCCAGGCGACAAATCAACGGTCTGTCCCGGCCGAGTCCGGGCGGCGAATCCCCGCCCAGCTTTCAATCCGCCCTGGTGCAGCTGGTGGATGGCACGTAAAGGCGCTTATGGCTGCCGGCCACATCGACCCATTTATGACTACGGAGCACAGCCTGAGATCGAAAGTGATTGATTTTTTTCCGGAGGAAGGAAAACCGGAGGGTACGGGTCCGGAGAAAACCCTCGAGGCAAAGGAGAGAACCAACGCACAACTCTACTCACATGTGATCCGCGGCCAAGATTCGAACCGTGGTAACCTTGGTGAAAGGCGAGCGCTTTACGCACAAGCCACCCATGCCACCCAGTATGCACATTGCATATTTTAGAATTGTTCTTATATTTTTTTGTTTTATAGTTTTGTGGGTAGAATGATTTAAAAACCATATTCCGAGTATGACACTAATAAAAAATATACGCTGCGGGATTAGCTTCAAAAGCATATTAATTTTGCTATATTGGTGTCGGATTCTGGTATGTTTTTTTTTCTGTATGCCTTGGAGATGTGTCCAACCTTATTACAACAGTAGCACATTGCTCCTTTAAGGGTAATTCCCTTGGCATATGTTGACCCTTGCATCGGTAGCAGTTCCCAGTACCTTGTTGGTTCTGCGCTGATTAAGGCCCGCAACTTGTTGCAGTGTTGGTTTCCTCTTCGGAGTGAATACTTGTTTGGCTGTCATCTTGTTCACCTATAGGCTGGCTCTGGGTTGTAAATGTAGCTCCTGAGCTTGCTTGCTGCCATCACAAACGCTACACAGTTCTTTCCAATGATTATCACTCACGTTGTCTGGTGATACCATTGACTTCAACAGCAAGTACGATTTTGGCCCAATACCCGTGAGAAAAACACTCATTGCTTTTGCTTCCTTGATATGTCGTTGGCAGTGAAAATCTGGTCCAACCCTTCTAAATAACACGTGAAGGTTTCCTTTCCTTCGTCAAACCCATCCACTTCCCGATGATCGCCGCCATCGTTTAGCGATTTGTATCTAGAACTTTATCTCATCTATTAGACTCTGGTACCTCAATATCACATCCTCGTCGCCAATTTTGTGGTATCTTTAGAGAAGCGGGCACAACAAAGATTCTACATGGCGGCCATTTTGCACGAGACACTCGCCGAGCCGGTTACTTGGGTAAGTATCCCATAAGGCCATGCAATGTCCCGCGGGCGCCTCAGGCCGTGTCCGAAACGAGACACCCCCTGGCGTCGTTAATTCAATACCAAGAGATGGAGCTCTTCAACATTAACAGTAATACGTTTACACTATTACATTATGATAATAATTGAATTCAATTCAATTCAAAACTCACACTTATTTCAAAGCCAAAATGAGAAATACAAGCATAGAATACACGATTTTGTACGTAAATCAATAAATAGAGTTTGTCAAAAACAAGGTGAAACAAATAATTT